CCTCCTCACCTCTTTTCTACCCCACAGTAACCCCTAAGGGGGCTCCACATAAAATAACTAGATTTTAAAATAGTAAAATCTAGACTCTTTTAGATGGCAAACACAGATCTGGTCTGAGAACCTTTTCTGTATTATCTCCTGGTACCATCCCATGCAAAATCTTATTGACATTGCACAAAAAGCACCATACTTTGATGCACAAGAGGTTCCTTCTGCCTACAACTCTCTTCTCCCACCATGTCTCCTTGAAGAACTACTAATTCTTCAAGCCTCAGCTCTCAGTCAGTGTCCCACAGGCAGAGTTAGGCTCTGCCACTCCTCTATTGTGCTTGCACACAGCAACCTCATGTATAGCATTTACACAGTCTTATAGTCTGATTCTCCACTAGACTGTCAACAACTTGAGTGAAAATCTTTACATCTTCCCATCCCCAGTTTCCAAAATACTCTCTGATGACTAGTATATATATGATATCTATTGAATAAAAGAAAATATATTTAAAATGTCAATCTCAAGTCTTAAAAAATTATTACAATATATTCAGTCTATTCAGTTGAACAAGGTAAGAACAAAATTCTTTTAGAAAATTTACTTTTCCCGAATAGTTAACATTCTAAAAATAGGTTTGGTGTTTAATTAAGTAAATCTTTAATTCAGTTATTCAGATCAATTCAATGCCCCAAGATTTTAAAATCTTTAAATATTTTCATCAAAATGGCAAACTTAAATTATTATGCTTAAATGGACTTATTAGTGAATTACTGAATATCTACTGCATTGTACAGATAATAGAGAATCATTAAACTATAGGATCTTATAAACTATCTACGGAGTCAAAAACAATATACATAAAACTAAAATGGATGATATAAGAGTATAATACACTGTGAAAATGAGAATATATATTCTATAGGCTGAGAATCATTGATAGAAAATCAGATGAAAATGAGATGGTCTAACTTAACATCCTTATGTTAAAACTAAGAAAAGAGATCTAGGTGAGAGGAAGTTAGAAAAATAGATAAATAAACTTTATCTATGTAAGGTATCATGAAAAGAAGTCAAATATGAAGTGAGCCTTAAAAAATAGGAAGAACTCATTAAGTGTAAGAGATGAGAGCATTCCATGAAAAGAGAAGATGAGGACGTTAGTGAGGGGCAGAGAAGATTCATGAGTCTGATTTGAACACATACAAATTAGAGAGTAATGGGGAGAAAAGACAAGAGGTTTTATGGCACCAGGTTTCAGACAGCTTCAAAGTCAGGCAGAGGACTTTATATTTCATATGATAAAAAACAAGCAACCAGAAAACTTAATAGGTCATTTAAAAAGCTCTAAGAATTCTAAATTAACTGTCCTGTTTTGCATTTAAGGAAAATAAGCCACAGAAAAATTATGTGATTTCCTCATAGTTAGGAACGGTATGGAATAGCCCCACTCATATAATGCTGCCACCTCTGGAGCACTTTGATGAAACAATTCATTCTTCAAGTACAGTGGGTAAATACTGCTGAGCTTGGCTGTTTGCCTAAGTTCTAAACAGAATTTGTATAGAGGGCATATTCTCTTGTGAGAGAAAAATCTCACACACATTCAAATATGAATTCTTTGGTTTTAAAATGACCATTTAAAAAATTTAGTATCAATTCCTTACCAAAAATATGCAACCAAAACTTTTGTATGAAACATATTGACAGTTAAAATTAAAAAAAAGGGGGCTTCCCTGGTGGTGCAGTGGTTGAGAGTCCGCCTGCCGATGCAGGGGACACGGGTTCGTGCCCCGGTCCAGGAGGATCCCACATGCCGCGGAGCGGCTGGGCCCGTGAGCCATGGCTGCTGAGCCTGTGCGTCAGGAACCTCTGCTCTGCAGCGGGAGAGGCCACAATGGTGAGAAGCCCGCGTACCACAAAAAAAAAAAAAAAAAAAAAGGTTCAAAACTGAACTCTCTATATTGATTGGGCATAAATTTTAACACTTTACCATCTTTCACAACCATGCTTAAAATAAGTATTTCCAGAAAGACAGTAGAGAACATACCCAATCTTCAGATTGAACTTAAAGAGCTTGTATGGTCCCATAAATCTGGAATTGATTGAACCAGTATATTAAGAAGACAAACCAGAAAGATGCAGTCAAATGCATCACTGAAAATGTTTTTTAAAGATTGAGAACCAGGTGTGTTGTGCATTATGACAGCACATCTGTGATTGCTTACCACTATAACTTACCCCAGTTTTATCACACAAGCGTAAAGTATGAAATGATCCAACAGCAAATAATTCTCCATCTGGAGCCCAGGCAACTGAGGTAATAGGATGCTCATGAGGTTGTGAACTGTACAGAGGGCGGCCGTAGCTATCCCATACCTACAAAAAGCAAATTTTAAAAATTCTTTTATAAGTCACCACGTTATTACAAACAAGTTTGTATCTTCTAGTAAAGTATCAGGTAAAGATTTAGAAGTCATCACTTTATAATATTAGCAATTACATGTCTTTACTATCCAACAAGGCAAGGTGGGGGTAGGGAAGCTGTATTCCTGGAAACCTAAATATCTCCCCCAAAAATGTTATGGTATCATCATGATAATTTCAGAGTTTACTAACTCTTTAATTAATCATAAAAACTACCCAGTTTAGGGCTTCCCTGGTGGCGCAGTGGTTGAGAGTCCGCCTGCCGATGCAGGGGACACGGGTTCGTGCCCCGGTCTGGGAGGATCCCACATGCCGCGGAGCAGCTGGGCCTATGAGCCATTGCCGCTGGACCTGCGCGTCCGGAGCCTGTGCTCCGCAACAGGAGAGGCCACAACAGTGAGAGGTCCGCGTGCCGCAAAAAAAAAAAAACAAACTTAAATTGATTTAAAGAGTCACTAAAACTAGGAGTTGTTTTCATGTTGCTACTCATTAAATCAAATTCTATAGGTCAGGGACTTCCCTAGTGGTGCAGTGGATAAGACTGCACGCACTCAATACAGGGGGCCCGGGTTTGATCCCTGGTCAGGGAACTAGATCCCACATGCGTGCCGCAACTAAGGAGCCTGCCTACCACAACTAAGACCCCGTGTGACCAAATAAATATATATTTTTTAATGGTTAAAATGGTAAATTAAAAAAAATTCTATAGGTCAATGAAATAGGCCAAATTAGAAAGGCAACACTTCAAAATGCCACTGAAAATTATAAAATAACAATTTGCTAAATTATTAGAGTTAAAAGATATGGCTAAAGAGAAGGACTAAAAGAATACTCTTATATGCTAAATACTTTTCACCGAAATTTGATTCTTTCAACCAGGTGATAAATTCAAACATTATTCAAACATTACATACCTTATATTTACAGTCTTCGCCAGCAGATAAAATTAAATCATTGACTGAGTTCCAGTCTACTTTTAAAATAATGCCATCATGAGCTTTCCACTATGAGAAAAAAATAAGATATTTATTATAACTTCAAGAGCACTGAAAAGTTTTTTAAATAAGAAAAGGCATTTTGCCTCTTTCTAATGATTCTTTTGTCCTCTTCTTGGAGAAGACTCCTATCTTCCTTTCATAACCATTATGCTGGTTTCATTTCCAATTTAAACTAATGAAAAGCACCTTGCACTATGACATCCACTATATAACTCACATCCTTATTAATTTCCTCAATTGCCTGGACTCCAGATGGAAAATCACTTGCTGTTGAACTATTCCAAGCTTGACATCTGTGTGATAATAATGGAATGAATATGTTATGTACTCCAAAACTTACTTGAATCCAAATTTTGCTCCCTTTGCACAGTTGATCCCATTACTGATACTGCCTTCATTCTTGTTTACTAATTCTTTTATTTTTTAAAAAAACTTCTACTACATGCACATCCTCTTTAGTACTCTCTTCATTCTCTTCTGTACATTCCCCTAAGCTTCATTCTCTTTACCTTCATGTCCCTGGAGTAGTCACTAACTACTCTGAGAAAATTCTGCTGCATTTACCATATAACAAAAGGTTTCCCACAGATATATACTCTACACATATATAGAATGCATACATATTTGTGTATATATCTAAGTCACCCAAAAATTGGCGATCTAGAAATTAAGCGTGGATGTCTTCTTGATCTTAAATATAATTTATGTGCTCATTTAGCTATTAACCACGCACATAATTAAAAGCCATTAATCTTTCACTAGGTTTAAGCAGAATAATATAACTGAAAAAGAATTAATTTTTCTTGAAGACTATAAGGTACATTTTAATGTCTGAACCAACTAACTTTGTTTCAAAGAGTGACTGATTTTAAGGGTTTTCTCTCTACAGAGCCTTCCCGGGAAAATCTATTATTCTTAATGTATACAGAAAAAAACATCAAATTAGGGTCAAATAAGCCCTAAGAATTAGCAATAATTCATAGCTTGTTTTATTCAAGATACATAAAAATACACTCTATCAAAAACAAATGTTTTGGGCTTCCCTGGTGGCGCAGTGGTTGAGAGTCCACCTGCCGATGCAGGGGACACGGGTTCGTGCCCCAGTCCGGAAAGATCCCACATGCCGCGGAGCGGCTGGGCCCGTGAGCCATGGCCACTAAGCCTGCGCGTCCGGAGCCTGTGCTCCGCAACGGGAGAGGCCACAATAGTGAGAGGCCCGCGTACCGCAAAAAAAAAAACCAAACAAAAAAAAAAACAAATGTTTTGATAAAGCAATAATTTTCACAATTTACTGCTAAATTAATCCAATGTCCTAAAATAAACTGCAAAGACAAAAATAACAAAATATAGATATATAGAGATATACACGTGCAGAGATTCTCAAGAGTTTCATTTTAAAACTACAAAAATAAAATTTTCCATATTCAAAAGTTAGGAACAAAATATGGTTTAAATTTTCCTTATACTATAATTTAGAATATCAATTATATATTACATATATTCACATATTACATATAATGCATAGACATTTTTCAATAATTTCTTAATGTATTAGGCATTTTGTAAAATTCCTTTGAATCGTGAGGTCCTCACAGAAGGCAGGAACTATGTTCTGTTTCACTTTTAATACCTTACACCCCAGCATAGCGCCTAGGATATAGTAAGTATGCACTACATTCCCACTGAATGACTAAATAAACAGAAGTCTCCTCACTCTGAAACCAAGTTCTGGGTCTCTAGAAGAGTCCCTAAAGCTCTTAAAGGAAATGAAATATATACTTTTGAACTGTATTCTACAAACAAGAATTAAATAAGCATTCTTTTTTGTGAATAATTCAAATTTGAGTATGTGTTTATGCCCAAGGAGAATTGCTGCAGCTTTAGTTTTCCAAAAGGAATAGAAGGTTTGCACGAAGTTACTAATTATACTTTAACCCCTTCTCCACTCTAGCTGAATTTTGGCAATGGATACTTTTCTTTCCCTCCACTACCTCCTGGGCCAAAGGTTTTACCGAGCCACAAAACGATAATTTATCAATGGTGATTTAAGCATCTTCCTGAGTTTCACTTACATATGCCTAATTACAGGTATCTTAACAAATCACATAACTATAAACTAAAAGATTCATCTGGCCTGCTTTTGCTGTATGATTTCAAAGCACATTTTCAGAATATAAGTGGTATTAGAAGGACTTTGACTAAAGGCAGTCAGAGCCAGTCCTCTTTCCTAGCTTATTCCTCTTCCCCAAATTCTTCTCTTTCTGTTGTTCCACAGTTCTTAGCAGAGTGTTCTGCATGTAGTAAAAATGTAAATGCATGATGACTGTGTGGAATATGTATAGCATAATCTACACAGAAGTGATTAATATGGAATCTCAAAGCCATTTCTATATCCTTACTCTCCAAATTCTACATCTACTCACTGTTAAACCTAATGCTTCTTCTTAAAACACTTTTTATACCTGCTGTAGCCAGTCAATCTCCAGCACCAAATCCCTTACCCAGGACGTGGTCATTCTATACCTTTTAACTGGCCTCCATGGCTCTAATTTATTAAGGGCTGACTAAAAGGTAGAGATGATAGAATAACACCGCAATATCAACAACTACTCTTCATTGTGTGCACTCAATATTTTGATTATATGCACTGTCCCATGCACTTTGCAATTTAACTCATTTAATCCTCACAACATTCCTATCAAGTAGGTATTAGCATCACATCTAAGAGATGAGAACACTGAGGCTCTAAGACATTTTATAACTTGCCTAAAGTCACATATAAGTAAGTGAACATTTGAACCCAGGTGACTAACTCCAAAGCCTGTAATCTTATTACCCACACTACACTGTGTCATCATCAAAATATGAAGAAAATGATTCTGCCTCTTGGCACTGAAATCAAACATCAAAATCCTGGATATAGGCTTAAAGGTTTTTCATTTATTTGTCCTCCCCTGACCTGTCTTAACTGCCACTATTGTTTTGCTTCCCTATAATTGGTAAAATTATATATACCCAATTGTTCTAAACATTACATTGACGCCCCCTCCACTCTAAAAATACTAAAAGAATTCTAGGGTCTTAGAGAAAGCTCAAGGGTACTGAACAAACAATGAGGAGGAAGACGCTAGAGGTGATGATAAAAAATACAGTCTAAACAACCTCTTAAAGTTTTATGATTTAGTCCTGTTTTGTCTCAAATCTATACATGTTAGGTTGACTCTCTTAAATTTAAAGATGGCTATTATGCCAAATCATGTGATAATTTAGTAACTCAGAACACATTTATGACTTACTGGTATAATGTGAGTTGGAAAAAGGGGGAAGTGAACCTCGTTGGAAACATAACCAGATATCCCCTGTTCTGTAACAAAGGCCGATAAAACCACACACTTAAGAGCTTCAACTATAACAAGACCACCCAGAAAAAAGGGACTCCTAAGAAAGTGACCTCTCACTTAGCAGTCTGGCAGACCCCAATAACAATTTACAAATGCCTGAGAAGTACCTGTAAAACTTTAGCATTTGGCTGAAGAGGTTTAATGATCAGCTGTTTGCCTGCTGTGTAAAGAACCTTTTCCGAATCAGGGCCCCATGCTACCGAATACACTGGTGTTCCTGTAAAAAGGAAAAGAAAAAAAACCTGATAAACTTAAATTATTATGCTTTATAAAAGGGAGATTGTTAGGAAAATCAAAAAAGCAATTTGGGGTGTCATTTCATTTCCTCATTCAATGGCCCATCCAAACTGCAGTATAAGCCTGATACTGAAACATAGACCAGGTTAAGATTGACTGTTGAAAATCTACTGTGAGCAACTGATAAACTATATTTTTTACTAATTTTGACCTTGCTGAGAAAATACGGAGCTTTTAGGACTTCGAGAGTGTGCTATGGAAAAACGTAAAATAAATATACTTCATTATGTTAAGATATAAAAAGGTATCAGAAAAGTCATGATTTATCATTTCCCATCATCAACAACTCTTGTGTCGTGATTTGATATGATTTCAAATCCACTCGTTCACGAAAAAATGAAGTTGTTTTGATCTAAGAATGAAGTTGTTTTTATAAGGAAAGCCGTTTTGCTATAAGAGTGAAGGTGTTGTGTCAGGAGATCATCATGGACATTTGAGGCTGCTGATGAAGCGCTCTGTAGCTCAGCTGCTGAGGGGCGCCACTGGCGGCTGATCAATAAGAACAAATGAATAAGCAACTATGGCGAGGAGACATTTAGACTATAAATATCCAGAATCCTGAGGACTATCTGAGAATGTCTGGCCTCAGCAAGGTGACTCTGTTCATCAAAATAGGTCTCTGAAGACCCTGGGGCATTAGCTTCCTGCAAGGGTAAGACCCTTTACCAGCAACAGTGAAAACACTGCAGCGGCCCCACCAAGATCATTCACCCGGTCAACACTTGAGTCTTCTTCCCTAGCAGTGTGCTCCAGCGGCAACATTCGACTTTTGCTTTTGTGCCTTCAGCTTGTGGTTGACTAAGCTAACTCTCCTGAGAACCAACTGGTAAAAAGGTACACCTCAACTAAATTTGGACTTCTTTATTATCATTGGTTTGGAGAATATTTCTTTGTTGGCTTCTTAAGAGACATTATTCTGGGGACTTCCCTGGTGGTCCAGTGGGTAAGACTCCGTGCTCCCAATGCAGGGGGCCCGAGTTTGATCCCTGGTTGGGTAACTAGATCCCGCATTCATGCCGCAACTAAGAAGTCTGCATGCCGCAAATAAAAAAAGATCCTGCATGCTGCAACTAAGATCCAATGCAGCCAAAAATAAAATAAGTAAATTTATTTTTTAAAAAAGAGCTGTTATTTCACTGTACATGAATTATACTTCAATAAAAATGGGGAAAATTAAAAACAAATTATTTTTTTAAATAAATAATGAATATCATATCAATTGAGAGCATTAAATTATCTGTGCTCCACTGTCTGACCCAGTTACCTATTCATTAGAACCTGTTCATTAGGGAAGTGAATCAAGTTTATATAATTAATCTATGAAATATTAACCTATTTATATTTATAAAACAAAGCTTTTAAAAATTGTCTAGGATTCCTAAGTCAGACTATTGTAGCAGTTGACTTTATGTGAATGATTGAATAAATCTTTCAGTAATTTACATTCTCAGTAAAATGAAATCTGAATCTGAGGATTTACAAGCAATCAGTAAGATGTTTATTTAAATGGAAAACCCAACTGATGCTAATCAACAGGGAGTAATCAGTAATCAACAGGGAGTAAATTTCAGAAAGATAAATGCTGTGTTTAAGTGGCACCCTACTCCTTTAGTGCCATTTTTTTCCCAACCAGAACGTAATTCAACTGTGAGCAAGTCTCAATGGTTTACAGGACTTACAAATCTGATTTACACCTAGTCCAAAAAACTCCTGAAGCATTCCTTTCATGGTGTAGGTTAGATATTATATTGGGTCTAAACATCCTGTTCAGTCGGTGACATCTAGGATTGTCCTGTATCAGAGGAACCTACAGATGAGCAATGAGATGGCTGACCTCAGAGGGTACTTCTTCTAAACTTAGTAAGTATATTCTCTTGAAACATTCTCTGGGAGTAGCCAGGAGCTGACCTGGGCTTCAAAGTAAATCTCCAAATGAACAGAGTTCAAGTCTAATAAACTCCCCAGAAAATGTAAATCAAAATTTCAGATATTCCAAACATGATTCTTGGTGAGGACAGTAAGGGAATAATAGAGGAAAGCTTACTTGATACAGTGGTAGAATTATAGGTGCCTTCTTTATTTCCATTATTATAGTTGTAAGTATTGTGCAAAAAAAGTAAATTTATGTATTTTAATTATAGACTATCAAATCTTCATGAATACACTCAGTAAAATAACACTTTCCTGAGTGTATACAAAACTATGACAAACATCTACCCCCAAGGAAATAATTCAGTAAACACAGCTCCCATTGAGTTATACAGGATGTGACTCTAGTCCTTTAGTTGTGGTAAAAGGCATGGTTTGGGGTATAGGATGAGGAGTTAGGGACTCTTATGTCTTCTTTCACATTGAATTTGTGGCCCCATTAAGTCAACTGTGTCACCATTTCCTTGTTTATAAACCTTATAAATCTTCAGAATACTTATCTCTCCTGTTAGGACATGGAGATTATTCATTTCCTGCTTATAAAACAATTTTTTAAATAATAATGCTGTTAAAGAAACAGGTATAGTAATTTATAGAATAAAATGAAATAGGCTTATAGAGGAAAATTTAAGTAATTCTTTTGTTACAGCATGTGGTTTTTAACCACATTCCTTCAATCAAAAAACAAATATAGAGTTACTTATGATAAATAAGCAATCCTAAATAAGATCAATAGCTAAAGAAGTTCCAGCTTCCTAACCACCAATATTCAAAATGAATATAACAGACTTCCCTGGTGGCGCAGTGGTTAAGAATCCGCCTGCCAGTGCAGGGGACACAGGTTCGAACCCTGGTCCGGGAAGATCCCACATGCCGTGGAGCAAATAAGCCCATACGTCACAACTACTGAGCCTGCGCTCTAGAGCCCGTGAGTCACAACTACTGAGCCCGCACGCCACAACTACTGAGGCCTGCACACCTAGAGCCCATGCTCCACAACAAGAGAAGCCACCGCAATGAGAAGCCCATGCACCACAACGAAGAGTAGCCCCCACTCACCACAACTAGAGAAAGCCTGCGCAGCAATGAAGACCCAATGCAGCCAAAAATAATCAATCAATCAATAAATGAATGAATGAATAAATGAATATAACATCAAGAACTAAGAGAACTCTTCCTTATATTCATTCTTTATATTTATAATAAAACGTTAAGTGTGAAACTCCTGTATATATGTTTTTATCGCTATACAACTTCTGATTTGGGTGGTTTTGGAGAAGGCCATATTGAAAGTGGATGAATTAGCTTCACAGAGAAAATGATTTCTATTATAAAAAATTCATCTCACTAGCATTTGAAACAAATCTTTAATATTTAAAATGTTTTTAAAAAACGTATTTATTAAAGCACTGAATTACTCCCAATGCTACACTTCACTTTGCAAAGTCAGTATGGAAATAATAATATAGCCTTCAGGTTAAAAAACTTTACAACAAAAAGTTTAGCAAATTATATGATAAGATGTTATTAATTTCTTTATTAACAAAAATGGACAAAAAACAAAAGTAGTTTTATAATAATTAATTTCTTGTTTTTTATATTGGGAATTTTTATTTATGCTCCATTTCAGTTAAGACACTCAAAAAGATCTTGTTTTTCTGACTTTGTACACTAAGATCATGTGACCTTTTTGACATTTTTTAAGAAACCACATGCACCTGGGGTTGTGTTAAATGTCAGACCCTTATCTCTCTGTAAAACAAATTATCTAAATTCTTTCAACTTGTTGAAGGCATTTTAAACCACAGAAAAGGAGGCAAAAATGTATTTCAATTGTTTTAAGGAAGTACATGGTCAAATATACCATGTTTTTCACATTCATACTAAAAGGTATCCCCTAAAAAATGTTGTTTTTGCATGCTTTTAAGAATGATTTTGAAACAAACTCTCACTATTACAATGAAGCATTAGCTACCTTTGCCTTGAGTGCAGTATAGGTCTACACCTTGTGAGTATAAGTAAAGAACTTAGAGCAGAGTTTGGCACTCTATAAGCACGACCTGTTAGCTACTACCACTACTACTTTGTAATGCAATAAGCAACCATTTGTTATTGTGTTGTGCATGGGAGTAGACACTCAAGTATTTTGGTTGTCAAATCATTAAGAATTCAAAAACAAAGAATTATTTCCCTTTCATTCTATTTGTAGGGACATGTATTAACAAATAAGTAATATCGAGTGGGATTTATTCCTCAAAAAAACAACTTTTTGGTTGTGTATGCCACTGGGTCAATACAGAGAAAAAAGCTGAAATGAAGGCATTTGTTTCTTTAGTTTCTAGCCTCAGTCAGCTCTCCCTTGGGGATCTCAACTTCCTCCATAGCTTCACCTTTCACCTTTCTGTAACTGACACACAATAATATTTCAGCCTTTACCTCTGAGCTCTAACACATTTCCACTTGCCCCAAAGACATGCCAGAACTTCAAACTCTACATATTCATATATCATCCCTCCACACATATCCCCTCACTTCTTCCTCTGAATTCTTCACCTCTTACAGGATTATCCATTCCTCTTGGCCACTGAGAACTATTCACTTTTTTCAACTACCCTCATCACTGACTCTGTTCAAGTCTTACTGCACAATAGCATAAAACATTTCAGTAACCTCTATACCAGCGACCCCAATTTAACCTCTATCTCTTCTAATTTATCCTACATATTACTGCTAAGGTAATCTTCCTAAAAAGGCAGACTTTATCTCTTCCCTCCTGCTCATTTTTTTTTTAAGATTTTATATGCTTATAGAATAAACTCCAACCCCCTTCATTTAGCATCTGCGAATATCAGTGTCTTGGTCCCTCTGGCAGTACCATCCCTCACAGAGCCTACACCCTGGCCCAAGGGGGTTGCTCACCTGACTTCCACGCCTCACGCCATTCTGCCTCTGTGCCTCTGATCATCTAATTTCTTCCATAGCTCCACTTCATTGCCAACAAGCTCATTTATTTATCCTACCTAATTTCTTTATCCTTCGAAGCCTAATTAAAAGATGCTGCAGTATTTGCCAGGAAGCTTTTCTGATACTTTCTCTCCCCCACAAAGCATTCATTTCTGCTTTCCTGTCCTCCCACAATGCCTTAAAGAAACGAGTACATTCTGCCTTGTGTTACAGTTATTTATATTTCCTTTACCAAATTCATTATAAACAGGTTCCATGTTTTGTCATCTCCTTCTTCTATTTGAATATAGTATAAGGGAAATGTCCTTAAAGGTTTGCAGTATTACTCTCTTCAATTTTAACCTATAATTAAAATATACAATGTAACACAAGATAGGGCTTCATTATAATTATCCTCGGCTTACACATTATTTTTCTCTAATAAGGAAAAATAATTTCTGATAGGCACCAGTAAGAATAGTTTTTAAACAAAGTCAAATTCCACCCCCTGCCCCACCCCCCGCTCAAAAAAAACCAAGATTAATGCTTTTTCTGTATTGGAAGAGAAGGTGATGACCATGACTTTTCGATCTTTATATCTGCCCCAATCATCAAGAAATGAATTTGGGAATTTTTCTACTCATCAAGGAAAAAGTACAATTAACATAAACATGTAGTAAAAATCACAGGATGCTTTCAACATTGTTTACATAATTCTGAGTCTTACAGTAATTCAGGCTTACGTTATTTCATTTTTGTGCCAAAATTTACAGTTTTTCTCCTCAAAGAAGCCAGGAGTCCCCGACCTCTACCTCCCTTGGTCTTTTTACTTGAACCTTTAGCATTTAGCTCTCAGTAGGTCAGATTTATAATCACCCTTGAAACTTGTAGCCTATAATATATCAAACCTTATAAATAACTAGGGATTTTTCTTTCAGGGTTAATGTGATTATAACTTAACTTCTCTAATGATTTTTCCCAGAGATAAAACAGGCAAAGTCTATCTATGCCTTATTAGGAAAGTGTGGGTGGCAACAATGATCAAAAATTCCAAAATTAGGGACTTCGCTAGTGGCACAGTGGTTAAGAATCCGCCTGCCAATGCCGGGGACACAGGTTTGAGCCCTGGTCCAGGAAGATCCCACATGCTGTGGAGCAACAAAGGTCATGCACCACAACTACTGAGCCTGCGCTCTAGAGCCCGCGGGCCACAACTACTGGGTCCATGTGCCACAACTACTGAAGCCCACGCACCTAGAGCCCGTGATCCACAACAAGAGAAGCCACCACAATGAGAAGCCTGCACACCACAACAAAGAGTAGCCTCCACACCCTGCAACTAGAGAAAGCCCGTGTGTAGCAACAAAGACCCAACACAACCAAAAATGAATTCATTTTAAAAAATTCAAAAATTAAAAGCATAGTTCTATAGTGAATTTATAATTCTTAATCTAGAAAAAGATATCAGATTATTCAGTTGAAATACCAGTAAGTTAACTAAAATAAAATCTACCTAATTTAGTTTTGTTCATTAATCTCATAATTAACATAAACCTTGAGTGAGAAGAATAAGATTCAAATAGGATAAAAATGATCAGCAGTTTCACAGCCATTTGATGTTAAGGAAATTACAGCTATTTGGAATGTTGATGTAAAATACCATTACATGATCCAATGAATACATAATAAAATTACCTATCTTATAAGACATAATATGTACTTTAGCTTTTAAGAAAATCCTATTTATCCATCTATTTGAGAGGAAGAAAAAATTAAAAAGAGCACCACCCATCCCTCTCCAAAATAAATACTATGAACAAAAACTAACTCAAAATCGATCATAGACCAAAAAAAGATCACACATTTAGCGTAAGCACTAAAACTATAAAACTCTTAGAAGAAAATATAGATGTAAGTCTCCATGACTTTGGATTAGGCAATAGTTTCTTAGATCTAACACCAAAAGTAGAAACAATCAAAGAAAAAAATAGATAAACTGAATTTCATCAAAACTTTTGTGCTTCAAAAGCTATCATCAAGAAAATGAAAAGGAAACCCACAGAATTGGGAAGTTGCATATCCAAGTTGCAAATCATATATCCAATAAGAGTCTATTGACCAGAATATATATAAAGAACTCTTACAACTCAACAATAAAAAGACAACCCAATTAAAAAATATGCAAAGGATTTTAACAGATATTTCTCCAAAGAAGACCTACAAATGGCCAAAAAGCACATGAAAAGAGGCTCAATATTATTAGTCATCAGGAAAATGCAAACCAAAACTACAGTGAGATACCACTTTACAGTCACTAGGATGATTGTAATAAAAAAGACAGTAACAAGTGTTGAAGATTTGAAGAAACTGGAACCTTCATATATTTCTACTGGGAATGTAAAATGGTATATTCACTTTGGAAAACAACTTGAAGAAGATTTTAATTCACTGATATGAAACCACCTCCAAGACAGTTCACAATTCAAGTGAAAAAAAGCAAGGAGCATATTAGAGTAGATACAATATGCAACCACTTGTTTATAAAAGGGAAAAAAAAGAACATATAAAACGAAATTTCCTACACAAGAAAATGGTAACACCAGTTGCCTCTGGGAATGTTTGCTGGGTGGCTGGAAGACAGGGGTAATACGAGAGACATGGGTAGTATTTAATAGATAACTTTATACCCTTCTTTATGCTTTAAATTCTGAACCATGTGAATGTAGTATCTATTAAAAATTAATACTTAAAAAGATGTAAGTGCTCCCTGCAAGGCACATACTAACAATCAAAATTTTATGATCACTATTATTGAAAATATGAGTTGCAAACTCAAATTCCTTCAGAGATTTATGTTGTGTCCTACCATGTAATATAAATGAGTGAAGTATGTAGAGTGCAAGAAAAATAAGAGAAGCTTAAAATCCAACTAAAAATGGAGCAGCCACTACTGAACTCCAGCCGACTGTATTTGTTCTGGAAAGCAGACTTAATGTTGCCAGTTCTTCCAATTTTTCAAGACACCAGAAATCCAAATATGTATGTAAAATATCCTAATTTTTAATGTTGGGCCTGCACCATGCTAGTGGGGCAGATTCAGCCCACGGGCCATCTGGTGATTTCTGATGTATAAAAAGTCCTTAATTTATGAATATATTGGGCTTCCAAACTGCCTCTGCACGTTTGGGAATTCTAAATGCATTTTCTCTATAAGAGTAAAATAAGTAGCAATCTGGTTTCCAGACCTATTATACAGGTAAACTATAGTACTGAACCAACAGCACTATGTCATCTACCCTCTATGATTAACAATGTTTATGTTAAACAACTTATTCTAAGTTTCAACTTTAGACTTTGTAAAGTCCAAAATGGTAGATCCAAGGGGTAATAAAAGGGAAGGAGATGACTGGGAAGAATTTAAAGAAAGAGAAGGAGCTGTACGGGGACAGTGGTGAAGGATCTTAGGCAAGAATTCAGATTATTATAATGGGTAATGAGATAAGCTTTCAAAATTTCTCTGAAGATCTGTGTCTTCTATAGACAACATATTTAGCAAAAGAGAAAAGAAAGGAAAAAAGGATATGTCTCAGTAGCAGCAACAGCTGAAAAGAACTGCAGCCCCATCTCCAAGAGGGTGGTGATGATCTCTAAACGAATTGTGTAGCTTCTCATAAATCAGACATCAAAAGGTAAGAATGCCAAATAATTAGCTCTAACAAAAATTTTAAAGCCAAAAGTAAATGCCCATGCCTACTAGAAGATTAAAATAAAATTTATTCTCTAAAGGTATACTTCATTACTAAAGCAACAATAAATTGACATCTTTCCCTAACAAATTTACTGATGAATGTTTCTATGAACTCTAAATTTTCCACTCACGGATAAATATTCTATTTGGAGACCATCTGTACCAAAGATTTAACCTCAGGAGATAACCACTACCTATTACTTATGGCTACCTTTGCTAACATTTGGTTGATGTGTAGCTAAAGAAATGTAACTATTTTAACATATCCTAAGAGTAAACATGAGCTAAAAAATGAAATCTGGAAATTTTTGGAAGTCAGTTGTTAGAGATGCTTCACAAAATGACTTTATCATATACTTCTGAAGAATAATCTGCAAACTTTTTGGCAGCCTGTCTCTGAAGATCAGCTGATATGGGCTCAGGACAACATTAAAACTGCTTTATTGTTCCTAAGTAAACCTAATTTGGAAAATAAATCTGCTACATGGAAAAAAATCATATGTCATCTAAATCCCAACAGGTAGGACCACTGGATTGACTTTATGGGCACTTCTTCCCAATGAACATGGAAAACCAAGCTGCTGCTCTAAGTAGTTGTAGTTTACCAAGTTTTGAATCATAAGAGTATCTGTTCCCCTCCATTAGTATAGATGTACAACATAATTTAGAAAGGGTGCTATTATTATGATATAATTAGAACTTTTTAAGTAAGGAGATACTCAGTGTTTTCTATTATTATTATTTACTTAACTAGACACCCAATCCTGTTCTAGATAGGATATGCTCATGATGCTTCAGAATTATTTTAAAAAGAATCATTAGCCTATAACTCCATTTATATAGATTCACTAACAAAGAAAAAGCGTTTGAGTGGGTCTTATATTTCTTGGCTCAAACAATACAGTTACCATGGCCCATCAGGCAAAATGAAAGTAAGAGGAAAAAGTGTAAATAGAAATAAGAGATTTCAGGTTTTGAACCTGACCAAAATCAGCCTGAGGAACTATATTAGACTAACTATATTAGACTATTTTTACAGGAAAATGCAAAGACATTTAATTGATTATAATACATACCTTGCTGAGCTAAAGTTGATCTTAGCATTCCAGTCTTTGACCAGATTTTTATTTGTCCATCTTCTCCAACTATAAAGAGAAAAGAATTGATTTTTTATCTATAGGAAATAAATGCAAACATTAAATTTACATATAAAAATCAGCAGTATCTACACTAATGCACATTTAAAATTCAGACACGAGTTACTCTACTTAGATATCACTGCTTCCTAAATATAAAATTTAACTGAAATTACTTTGAAACAATTTTATCAAAGTAGCCTGACTTCAATGACAAAATTATTTTTTCCTTTAATCTTAGAAGACTTATGAGTATATTATTCAAATAATGCTTTCATTTTCACTGACGTCTCCATCCTAGAATTCTAAGAAAAGTGTTTTCAGTGTAATTAGAAGAGTTACAGCCAAATTCCAGTGAGTTGGGGACTGAATGGGGTGAAGTAATAAACTACTCTTTTGAACAGTTTGCCTGATGGGAAAGAAAGAAAGAGGAAGTTGTAGCTAGAATTATTTGTTAAAGGAGGGATTTTTATTTCTTTTTTCTCAATTTTCAAGATGAATGACATCTGAACACATTTATATGCTGAAAAAAAAAAAGGGAAAGAAAAAAACACTGGAAAAGGAGAAGTCGAAAAAACAGGCAAGAGAAGAGAAACTCACTGATAAAAGTCCTACAGAAGGCCCAGGGGATAGGTGTGGTGGTTTTAAAATATATCCACAAATTCTTTGTTATTCCTTCTTTTAAGAAGTGAAGCTTAACTTCTCTCTCCTTTCTCCTTCAGTTTGGTCTATACTTAGTGACTTGCTTCTAATAGAATATGGTGGAAATGATGGAGTATGACTTCCAATGGTGGGTCATAAAATATATTGTGTCTTCCATCTTGCTCTCTCTTGGATCACTCACTCAGGGAGAAGCTCCAGCTGTCACGTTGTTAGAACACTCAAGCAGCCCTATGGAGAGGCCCATGTTGTAAGGAGCTAAGTAAGGCTTCCTGCAACAGTCATAGAGGAAGTAAGACCTCTTGCCAACAGCCATGTGAGTGAGCCATCTTGGAAGCAGATCCTCCAGCCCCAATGGGGCTTCATATAACTGCAGCCCCATCCAACTTCTTGATTCTGAGACAGAACCACCCAACTAAACTGTTCCCTGTCTCACAGAAACTGTGAGATAATACATGTTTACTATTTTAAGTCACTAACTTTTGGGATAACTTGTTATGTAATAATAGATAACTAATATGATAGGTGAAGATAAGAATCCCTGCAGTAGGGCAGGAGATGGAAAAGAGATGGAAGGGGGGTAAAGTTAAATGAAAATATTTTGAATTTTAGAATTTTAAAGAATTAAAAGTTTTATTTACCCCACACTTGACCATTCCAAAACCTTCTTGACAGAACATTCTTCATAAGCCATATAGGAAAACTAATATGACACTCTGAATGATAACATTATATAGCAGTCTAGATCAATACTGTGCCAATTATTTGCTATTAGACAATGAAAGACACTATTGCTAAATGAAAATATTCTGTTCCTTTGGAAATTTTTCTTTAAAAATTTCATTTTAAATGTCATTTTTGCAGATAACCTACCTGTAACTAATGCTGTTCCTTCATAATTCCATCGTCCAGCAAGTACTGCTCCACAGTGAGCTTCCACACTTTTTTCCACTCTTCCTAACTTAGAAATCAGATGAAATTTGCCTAAAAGAAATTAAACTTGAGAAATCTATTTTATTAAATTAATTTATCCAATCAACAAACATCTGTTGAGTATCTACTAGTAGACTAGTTAGCATAGTGCTAGGCATGGGAGATACCAGGGCAAATAATATAATTATTCTTACTCTCAAGGGACACTCAAATCCATTGGGAAACAGGCACAAAAACAAAAATATACAACCTTGAAACAAGTGGTGTGACAGAAATATATATATGATACTATGATAGTTCAGAGGGACAATAAAATTCTGCTGGGATATGGTCAAAGAGGGCCAAGAGGAATGTCAAGAAAGCCTTCTATTTAAGCAGAACTTTGCAGTCTTTCTTTTTTTTTTTTTTTTTCTTAAAAACAGGCTATAGAAAAGTTAGGAAAGGTGTAGAGGAGAGGAACCAAGATAGTTAAATGGTGTTAAAAGATAAACTGAGGCATATTAAAAAATATTGAGTTTGGGGGAATTCCCTGGTGGTCCACTGGTTAGGGCTCCTCTCTTCCACTGCAGGGGGCCCAGGTTCGATCCCTGGTAGGGGAACTAAGATCCCAAAAGCCACGCTGGCAAAAAAACAAAACAAAAACAAAAACTGGACTTTGTGCAGAAATCAATTCCAATCCAGCAGTGCCAAACTTTAAGTGGTTAGGAACGTTCCACTGACAGGAGCTCAGGGAGAGACTTCTATAGAGAAAAGGCAGAAGTAAAGTAAGGATACTATTGATTGACTACAACTTAAAGCCTGGTTGGCTGTTTGTGATTGGTTGCCCTTAGGTTTCAATTTCATAATCTTGAAGCATTCATTTACAGGCTTAGATTTTGGTTTGCAGAGGTATACAGCATTAGAGTCACCTCAAGTCTAAAGGCCTCCTTGTTTAACTAATTTAATAACTGATAATCCCAAATTTTCAAATTCTTGCCTTATTTGATTTTACACTGTACCAGGCAACAGGTAGACAAAAAGAAGCAAGTTACTTAGTTGCTGTTCTCAAAAAGTTCACACATACATAGGCAAACAGCAAAAGGCTTACAACTTCAAAGGACCTAAGCAAACTATATAAGAGATGTCAAGGGAACAAATCAACTGTACAAAGAATAAGTGCTACAGGAAGCCAAAAAAATAATCAGTGTGGTTTTGAATGATCATGAAGTCTAATAATATATAGTTTGTAATGAAATAATTAAGTACAGTTGGTCCTCCACATCCAAGGGTTCTGCATTCTTGGACTCAACTAATTGATTTAAAAAATACATAAATAAATAAAAACAAAAAACCAGAAAGCTCCAAAAGCAGAACTTGAATTTACCCTGTACCAGCAACTATTTACATAGCATTTACATTGTATTTACAACTATTTACACAACATTTATACTGTATTAGGTATTATAAGTAGTCTAGAGATGATTTAAAATATGTGGGAGGATGTGTGTACGTTATGTGCAAATACTATGCCATTTTATATAAAGGACTTGAGCATCTGTGGATTTTAGTATCTACAGGGGTCCTGGAACCAAACCCCCTTGGATACAGAGGGACAACTGTACAGTAAAATTAGAAACTTTTCCCCAAATCAAAAAAAAGTATATATTTTTTGTAGCAAAAGAATAATGTGGCTTGCTTAATCAAATTTTGCCTCAGAGGATTTATTTTGTTTGAATTCATTTTTAACTTAAGGCTTTTCAAGATTCTGGACGAATATTAACAATCCATTAAAAATACATATGTAATAAGTCAGATGCTTTAGATGGCTTTAAAACATTTCTCTGGAGAGCTCTAATACAGATGGCTTTAAAATATTTTACACTTAGCACCCTGTGGCTATTTCACTGACCACCAACCTATTCCCATCAATAAAGTCATTCTCCCTTTTTACACACATTGCACAATATTTGTAGCTCTGTTGCAGCATTTTTTTATTGGACTGTGATTCTTTTCAGAAGGCCATGTCTTAGTCATATTTTTATTTGCAATAGTGCTTTACGTAAGCAGCATTTGTTAAATTTACCAACTCAGTAACCATACTTAGCAACTTAAAAAAAAAGACTACTTTGACATTCTTTTCTTTCTCATTCAATCTGAGAGCTGTCTTTTCCCATCATTCATTTTCTAGGCCCTCATCAATAAACTGCCCCTTTCCTTCATCTAACCACCCACTAGCGCCATCTACTTTTCCTCATATCTTCCTTTTAATTTTATATTTACCTCTGGGTTATTTTTCAATGTAACAAGATTATTATTATTATTTTTTTTTTGCGGTACGTGGGCCTCTCACTGTTGTGGCCTCTCCTGTTGCGGAGCACAGGCTCCGGACGCGCAGGTCCAGCGGCCATGGCTCACGGGCCCAGCCGCTCCGCGGCATGTGGGATCTTCCCAGACCGGGGCACGAACCCGTGTCCCCTGCATCGGCAGGCGGACTCTCAACCACTGCACCACCAGGGAAGCCCTAACAAGATTACTTTGAATTCAACTGTGCTATTACACTCTTTATGATACTAACCTAAAATTAATTTGGATATACTTTTTTTAATGCATTGCTTTAGAAAGAAAATACAAGGGGAAAAAATCTCAAGAGGAAACTATAAAGATGACATATACTGAGTGGCCATTATTTACTTTATCCAAACCTGTTTCACTAAATATTAGCATATCGCCTAGCACAAAACATCCACATACTAAATTGTTGCATGTAACGAATGCATCTATCACCAAAGAGATTAACCAAATAGCTCCTGAACCTGAAATGAAGGGTCCGAAAAATTTTCTTTTCTTTGTATTTTAGAAATTTTATGTATTTTTGATCACCGATATTTCTTATCCTAAAACATCGAATACTGAATTTCTGACAAGTGCTGAAATTATTCTTGCTTCCCATGACCTCACAGAAGACACATACTGGAACAACTAAGGCCAACTCTTTGCACAGATTTGACACTCAATAAATCTTTGGTCTTTGTAGTTTGATTGTTACAAATTGCTTGACTAGCACCCCCAGAGTAAAGCATAAATATAAAACTAAATATATCAAAAATTTTAAAAAACACAGTTATCCTTTTAACTATTTTGGTTCTTCTCTCCAGCTTTTCTATAACCTTTTAAAAATGCTAGACCAGGGCTTCCCTGGTGGCGCAGTGGTTGAGAGTCCGCCTGCCGATGCAGGAGACGCGGGTTCGTGCCCTGGTCCGGGAAGATCCCACATGCCGCGGAGCGGCTGGGCCCGTGAGCCATGGCCGCTGAGCCTGCGCATCCGGAGCCTGTGCTCCGCAACGGGAGAGGCCACAACAGTGAGAGGCCCGCGTACCGCAAAGTTATAAAAGGGAAAAAGAACAGAGTAAGTAGATTAAAATTACACGAAACACATTTCTTAAAGTTAGAAATGCCTTAAGAAATGTCTATGGAAACATGAGAAGGCTTGAAATAGGGTGCTAGGAAAAAGGTCACACGAGCACTTTTGCAGACTGCTTAATAGCAGAAAAGTTTTGGCAGATGGTTGCAAAAAGCCAGAGATCGGTAACCACTAACTTCTGACAGAAAGAAATGAACACATAAATGCTTTTTAAAGTGGGATTTTAAATGTACATATTAACTAATAAGAGAATATGAGGATTACTTTAAGATACCTAATACAATGTATAAAAATATTCAACTTTCACTAAATATAACTTAAGGAGTATCTACTGGCTTTACAAAAGATTTTATACCAGAATTCCTTTACATAGCAGCTCCCCTAATGCATTTTAAATCATTCTTTTTTAAATGTAAATCTTGCAATACATTGTCAAAGAAAGAAATATCTCCTCTAAAAAGTAGGATACAGCTGCATGAAATATTCAAAAAGAAGTAATAATGTTGAAGAGAGAATTATTGGTGAGACAAAATACTTGGCAAAAGTCTGCTTTATGTATTTCAGGACCTGTGCCCAAATCCCATGGATCTTTTTTGAATGTTACCACTAACACAGAAGATGGAGTGGGTATGACAAAGGGAACACTGGAGGAGTGATGAACAAACTCAAAAGCCGTAACCATTTTTGCCAGCCTTGGGGGAGAAAAATCAAGAGAAGAGAGTTGGTGCCAACTAGAAGAGGGAACCTCTTAGACAAAGAACTAAATTTTGAAAAAGAATTTTTTAAGTACTGGGTTAACATCATACAAAATGAAAAAGTCCTAGTGATCTGTTATACAATATTGTGCTTACACAAAAATTATATTATTAAATATTGCACTGTACACTTAAAAATTTATTAAGAGGGTGGATCTCATATATTTTTTAAACCAAAATAATATTTTTTATAGTATTTGATTAACAGAGAATACAGCATTGATACATAAAATGATCTCAGATGTTTATCTGGCAAGAAACACCTTGACTGACCACCTTTCAATAGCATCCACTTTCTTTTTTTTTTGAACATTTCTTTTTCTGTTTTTTTGTTTGTTTGTTTTTCCGTACGCGGGCCTCTCACTGCCGTGGCCTCTCCTGTTGCGGAGCACAGGCTCCGGACGCGCAGGCTCAGTGGCCATGGCTCAGGGGCCCAGCCGCTCCGCGGCATGTGGGATCTTCCCGGACCGGGGCATGAACCCACGTCCCCTGCATCGGCAGGCGGACTCTCAACCACTGCGCCAACAGGAAAGCCCTCTTTTTCTGTTTTTTTGAACATTTCTGGATTCTGTTTCTTGTCTTACTCTTCTACTTCTTTTCTTTGAACTATCATCCTTTGCCTTCACTTTCACAAGATCCCAGATATTCCTCATCCCAGCCTAAGAGAAAACACTCAACTACCCTGCTTTGGTTCTCTCTTCTTCCTACATCTAGTTGTAGCATGTTATGTTACCTTATTTGTTTGTTTGTTTGTTTGTTTTTGTAGTAAACCTAAAAAAAGTAAACACTATAGTTTCTCAAGAGTCATAATATATTTTTCCACTTTTAATCTTGCAAATTTATCTTTAAATGATATTTGTCTTACTTTAGACTTTTTTCCCTATCAGAATTTTACCTAAAGCCAATGTGAAATAGAGACCCAAACAGCTATTCTTTAGTTAAGTGTACCTAAGTAGTCTTAATAAATCAGGGAAACACTCAGATAACAGAAATTATCAAGACTAACTATATTTACTGTCCATATTCATCAGATACAGGTCAATCTTCATACACTATTGACTTTAAAAAGGAAAATGAAAGGAAAATATATGGTAGACTTCCCTGGTGGCTCGGTGGTTAAGAATCCACCTGCCAGTGCAGGGGACACGGGTTCAATCCCTGGTCCGGGAAGATCCCACATGCCAGAGAGCAACTAAGCCCGTGCACCACAACTACTGAGCGCCACAGCTACTGAAGTCTGCGTGCCCTAGAGACCAAGCGCCACAACTACTGAGCCCATGCCCTGCAACTACTGAAGCCCGCGTCCTCTAGGGCCTGCATGCCACAACTGCTGAGCCCACATGCTGCAACTACTGAAGCCTGCGGGCCTAGAGCCCGTGCTCTGCAACAAGAGAAGCCACCATAAGAAGCCCGTGGACCACAATAAAGAATAGTCCCCGCTCGCTGCAACTAGAGAAAGCCCGCGTGCAGCAACAAAGACCCAACGCAGCCAAAAATAAATAAAAAGTTAAAAAAAAAAGAAAATATATGGTATGCCACCTTCTATGTAATAAAAAAAAGGTGAAATGAGAAAATATACATGTTTTTGTTTCTTTTTGCTAAAAGAAACAAGAAAGGATAAACCAGAACCAAAGGGATTGGTTACATACAGGGAATAAATAAAAATAGGGTGTATGGGATTGGGTGGGTAGGAGTAGTGACATTGCTGAGTATATTTTTTTATATAGTTTTGACTTTGTGGAACCATCCATGTAATATTTTACATATTTAAAAAATAATCAAATCAACAAGGATGGGGAGATGAGACCTTAAATGGAAAACAAACAGAAATAAATACACTTAACTATATTTTAAATGAATAGCAACAACACTAGTAAGGGGGAAATGCCAAGTAACTTTGAACACAAGACTTTGACTCTATATCCTTGACTCTATATCCTCAGTGTAAAGATAAAAACAACAGTAAAATATTAAACTCTATTTTTTTTTTGCAATAGTATGGATTAGCAATTCTGAAACAACCTGCTGTGTATTGTAGAATTAAACAAGTAAGTAAATATATTGAGAGTAATGGGAGCCAAGCTTCCTCACTGTTTCCAAGTATGGGGAAAAAAGACTAGAATTAACCCTGTGGTGCTGAATTAGAATTGGCAGTATCAGAATGAACTCATGATTTTTATCATGGAAAGGAAGGAAGGGAGAAAGGGGAAGGAAGCAAAGGAAGAGAGGGAGGGAGGGAGGAAGAAATTGCTGTAGATTTGTATATTTTAATACACATTTCTATTCATATTTCTTAGCTCTGTCCTGTGAAAGGGCCTTGAAGTAAACACATCCCATTGAAATAAGCATACCTGGCACACTCATCTTGGCTTTTAAATACCATTAAGCACCCAGAAAAGAACAAGTCTCCTTGGAGAAACAGCTGATTTGGAAGCTGGGACTGGGAAAGCACAAAATGAGCCTGGAACATCTTGTGCCAGCAAAGAAGTGCTCAAAAGATGGTGGGGAAACATACCCCCCAGGTAAAAAGAAAATTCATTTGAGCTGGCTTCACGGAGCTCCCACTGGCCAAATCTGGGACAATTGTAACATCAAAAATTTTAAATGGTAGTAATAGGATGCTCAAGAAATAAAATAAGAATCTATGAGTCTAATCTAAGTAAACAAATAAATAAATGGGCAGGAGACAGAAGGCTCTTCCTTGCAGTAAAATACCAACAAATCAATATAAAAGAAATTATGGAGTTAAAAAAAATCACCATTTGGCAACAATCTTAGTAATAAATGATTCAGCCAAGAGACATCAATAGATGCCAAGACAGTGGGAGGAAATCTGAGGAGGAAGAGAATATTTTTATATAGTCTGAAAGTATCCTTTCAGAAATTATTTATTAAAAGGGAAAAACATTAACTTTACACTAGATTAATTTAGTGAACACAACCTTTCAAAATAATCAAAGTTAAAGTCACCAATAATGGGTCAAATCAGCATCATGAATCTTCCAATCTGATGCCCTGAGTACTGCTGCTAAAAATGTGTAACTGGATTTAATCATGAAGAAACATCAGACAAACATGAATTGAAGGACATTCTGTAAAAATAACAGGCCTGTATTCTTCAAAACAGTGGAGATCATAAAAGAAAAACTGAGGGGTTGCTCCAGATTAAAGGAGGCTCGAGAGATATGACAAAATAATGTGTTATTCTGTACCAGAAAAAAACAAATTTCTATAAAAGATATCATTAGGACAATTGTTAAAATTTGAATATAAACTGTAGATTAGATAACAGTATTACATCAATGTTAAATTTCCTGATTTTGATCAATGTATTGTGGTTAAGTAACAGAAAATCCTTATTCTTAGGAAATGCATTGAAGTATTTACGGTTAAGGTAGCATATCTATAAATTACTCTCAAATGTTTCAGAAAAAAGTATATGTGGGGGGGGGGAGGCAGGGGGGAGAGAGAGAGAAAGAGAGAAAGAGAGAGAAAAGACCAGCAATGATAAAGTATATGGGACAAAATGTTAACAACTAGTGAATCTAGATAAAGGATATGCAGCAGTTATTTGTACAATTCTTGCAACCTTTCTATAAATGTGAAATTATAATAAAATTAAAAGCTTTTTTTAAAGTCAACCCTTCATTTTATCATAAGAGGTAAACTAAATTCTAGCTGTGCTCAGAGTCAATCTTGTAAGCGCTAGGCACTGTACCGAATACTTTCACACAGTATCTCATTTAATCAATATTCAGAAAACTAAGTTTAAAAATTACATGTAAAAGAATTAGAATCTGATGTGATTGTTTGCCATAACATCCCTTTCCTATTCTGGCTACAAAAGCCCTCTTCTCTTTCCCTTTCCACGGTGGCCTAAGGCCTGCCATGCTCTGTCAATCAGTGTCCCAGTACCTTGACTAAAATGATTCACTCAGTGACGGGCACGTGACCCAAGCTTGTCCAGGACCTCTCTGCATGTTGACTGCAAGTGATATTGAGGAAGAAGCACTCTCTCTGCTGACTTTTCTTTTCCTGTAGGGTAAGCCTTGGGCTGCTGGCTGCCATCATGCTCACCTTTTGGGGCCAGTCTATCCAAGAGATGGCAAGAATAGGGGCCTGGGAACTTCCCTGGTGGTCCAGTGGTTAAGAATCCACCTTCCAATGCAGGGGATGCGGGTTTGATCCCTGGTCAGGGAACAAAGTTCCCACATGCTGTGGGGCAACTAAGCCCACGCGCTGTAGAGCCTGTGCGCCACAACTAGAGAGCCCACGTGCTGCAACTACTGAGCCTGCGCACTCTGGAGCCTGCACGCCACTACTAAAGAGCCTGCACACCACAACTAGAGAGAAGCCCACACACCGCAATGAAAGATCCCGCATGCCGCAAGATCCCGCGTGCCGCAACAATGATCCCACATGCCACAACTAAGACCTAATGCAGCAAAATAAATAAAAAATAAATAAATAAATAAAATCTCAAGGGGTTGTGTATGTGTTATTTAAAAAAAAAAAAGAATAGGGGTCTCATGCAGCTGTGCTTAAAGATCTACCTCTGGAGCTAGGTAAACCAGAAAACTCCATCTGTGAATAAGTTAGCCAAGTAAGTTTCTGTTACTTTTGATGAATGTACTCTTAACTGATATAGTAGGTAAAGTGTAATACAGATGAAAAACAGTTCAAGTTATTTCTAGGAAAATTAAAACATTTCCTTAAAAAATAGAATAATCATGCTTTTTACTCACCAATAATAAAACTATGGTCAAATTAATCTCCAGCTCTGTAAGTAGAAATTAACATGTACTAGAAAATAAAGACTATATTTGATAGCTTACTAAATGAGTGTGTGTTGTACCATCTATTTTTAGTGTGGTTATGTTATACAGTTAAATTTGACAAAATTAGAAACCAAAACTGATAAAAGCCTAACAATACCTGCGAGCACAGAAAAAGTAAAGCCAGAGGTTCAGATTCAATCCCAGTATATGCCAGTTTAATTCACCTTCTTCTATGACAATAGTTTTATAGCCTATACACAGACAAACCGACTACATAGGAAATGGATAAACAACTCAAAACATGTCATACTAAAATGTTATGTCTTTTAAGTATAAAGATTAGCATATAACGTTTATTTAAAACTTACCATCAGAACTTGTGAGAACAAAGGTTTCTGCTTGAGTTTGTTTCTTTATGCCTAAACTTTTCGGAAACCAGTGAAGATCTATTGGGTAAATATCATCAGGCAGCTTTACTATTTGACTTGTTTCACTAGTTAACAAGTTCCACTTCACTATCTGGTGATCATCACTACATGAATACAGTTCTTCAGCAGTATTCCAGCCCACACAGCTTACTAATTCTTGATGTGTCACCATGTTAAGGAGATATAAAACACACACAAAAGTCTTCAGTCTTAATAAATACAATATTTTGCAGATGCAGATTATAAGAAGAGTATAAAATAGGGCCAAAGGTTTCAAGCTTCTAAGCCTATTTTTCATTTTATGACTTTCATATTTTTTCCATATAAGGAAAGGAAAATAAGCATCTATCAAAACAGTTGTAAGAAGAATGGAAAGCAAGATAAGAAACCCAGGTGCCAAAAGAGAAAAAAAGAAAGATTTGACTATATGAAAAATGTTAAATTGTGTTACAAAGTATTCCATAAACAAGGCAAAAGATACAAAAACATCTAACAGAACAAAAGGAATGAAAGGATCGACTCTAACCCATTGGGGAATAAGTGGGGAGAAAAGGGGACTATGCTTTTTTTATTTACATATATCTGTTTCATTTAAGTTATTAGAATAAGCATGTATTATTTTGATAAAAGTTTTCAAAAATCAAGTGTTAAAATAAGACTGACGGGACTTCCCTAGTGGCGCAGTGGTTGAGAATCTGCCTCCCAGTGCAGGGGACACGGGTTCGAGCCCTGGTCCGGGAAGATCCCACATGCCGCAGAGCAACTAAGCCCGTGCGCCACAACTGCTGAGCCTGTGCTCTAGAGCCCGCAAGCCACAACTACTGAAGCCTGCACGCCTAGAGCCTGTGCTCCTCAACGGGAGAAGCCACCACAATGAGAAGCCCGCACACTGCAATGAAGAGTAGCCCCCGCTCGCCACAACTAGAGAAAGCCTGTGAGCAGCAATGAAGACCCAACACAGCCAAAAATAAATAAATAAGTAAATTTATAAAAAAAAAGAAAAAAGAAAAAAAGACTGAAATCTAACAGTAAAATACCTGCTTAAATGACACATTATAATAATTCACCTAGGAAAAAATGTACAACTTAACAGCTGAAACTAAAATCCTACCAAATTTCCTGACATTAAATTCAGGAAGTAATTCAATTACAATTTACTGTACCTACAAGGTAATATGGATAAGATATGAACCCTAAAATTCTTACTTTAACCTATTTTTTCAGTCTCTGATTTATCAAGTGGATTTCTATAAACTGAGGTGTTCAAGTAGCCCTCACTTCCACCATCAGAACAGATTGCTTACCCTAGCAGAGTTGTGTATCTAAAGAAGGCACTTCAGTTTGTCATTTTTGAGATGCTTTCTCCTGCTTATATGTGGATTTGTATATTACCACATTATCCTGGTTGGGTTGTTTGCTCTTTTGTTGTTATTATATAATCATTTTACTGCCTTCTCTTCTCACCAATGCTTTCTACTGGCTCATCCAAGCAATCAGTAAACTCTAAGGAAAAAGAAAGAGACTATGTGCCAAATTATTCTGGGATGTTCTAAGATTTTTTTTAATACTTCAAAATATGATAGATTAAGCAAAATAACCAAAAAGGTAAAAAAGAAATTATGGAGAGTTCTTAAGAGACTGCACAAATAGGTAATAAAGTGGCATTGGAATACTCAAAATTCAAAGTAGAATCTAAACAAAAGGATCTGGATGTCCCATTAGACCATTACTGAAAAAAATTCTTCCAGTATAATTGCTATAGCTTAAACAATGTTAGGTAAAACCTTTAAAAAGGTAGAGTGTCAGGCGTAATCTAGAAAGAAAGAAAACACACATACACACACGCCCCAAAACAAAAAATACTAAGCTTATCCTCATAAAAACTGATGTAAGTACACATCAGACATATGTGACATGTCTTCAAACTAATAAGTTAACTAAAATTACAGGAGAAATGAGAGGACTGTCAGAATAAGAAAGTCTAAAAAGACTGCTATTCTTCAGCTTCAAAAGGTAAAAGCAGACAATAGACATAGTCAAAATCTAAAAGATTGTAAGCAGCATGAACTCCTGGGGGCACACTTTTAAAAGAGAATAAAAATGATTTAAGGAGAAATAAAAGGAATTATATCTTCACTCAAACGGTAAAAGAAGCAGACAAGACAATATTAATTCAAAGCGTTTGATCAAATGTCTAAAACAGTGCTTCTCTATCTCTGAAGGATCCTATTTTTCTTTATTTCAAATCTGTTACAGATCAACATTTTCTAAGATAAAATAAAAATGAATTACTAGAAAAATGATCTTATATTTGGATGTTGTGACTATCAAATTGCTACAAAAATTTCTTCCTTCTTACCTTCAATTTCTTTACTTATCCCTTCACAGACCTGCAATAAAGTCCACAGATGATACTTTTAGAAGCACTGGCCTAAATAACTAAGAATGAAGGTAAAGGGGCCTATCATATATTCCTGACACATAACTGGGAGTTCTTGCTGACAAAATATAAGGTCATACGTTTGAGAAATATTTATAATTGCCCCCTTCCCACGTGAAATACTAAAGGTCTAACTGCTCAGATTTCCCCAGCTTACCCTCCACTTTATTGTGAGTAAGAAGAAATAGAGCAGAACTCAATGAAAACATACTAGATCATACCAACAGATAAATTATTTGATTTTTTAAAAACTTCTCTTTAAGATTTTATTAGACTAAACAAAAACTGTTTTTTATGTACTTAAGTATAGTAGTAGTACTTAAGTAGAGTAAGAAAAATGTCAATAAAAATTTGAAAGTAAGATTTAGAGCAAATAGTTTGCATTGGAGAATTACCTGCAAAACAAGACCTCAAATATTTCAGAAACAATTTAGCAAAACTACCAATAAAGGAATGAAAAAAATCCATTATCCAACTAGACTACAAAAATAGAAGAAAACTTTTAATAATACTATAGTAAGGTGATCACAATAAGGTTTATAAGTATTAAAAGGATATGCTTTGGTTCTTTTAAAAGAGATATCTTCAGTCTCATGTCTCCACCTTCCAGCAAAATTTTAAAATGCCACTTGATTGTACTCACTGTAAAAATAAAAGGGGGAAAATATAGAATCTGCATTAAAAACAAACATATATACACAAAAAATTAAAAGTAAACAAAACATCTTAGCACCCCAAGGACACCAAAACACTTTCAATCCTGCTGGCAACAAATACATGGAAAGAGGAAGAAAACTAGTCAGTGTGCTAATTCTGGCAAGTGAGTGACTGGAGGCCTTGGGTTGGATGCCAGAAGTCCTCTACAACCTGCCTAAAACAGTCCTACAAGTACAGAACGCCACTAAATCTGGCCAGGTAAATAATTTCCAAGGGCTGTCCTGAGACCTAATCAAAAGATTTTTTAAACTGGGAACTGTTCAATGGCAGATCAATGTTGGTCCTGTTGAATGGATACACAATAAAATAAATTCCAAAGGTCTGATCGAGGGCTAAGATACATATTTTGAGCTTTAGTTATAGAACCCACATGGGAATACTATGACATCATCAACCTAGTGATCCAATCTGAGATTTACATTCTGTTGGAGGTAGATACACTGCCCAACAGTTATGGTTGCCATGGTGGCAAAGTGAAAAATAAGCGAGTTATTTAAAAGAGAGGTAATAAACCTATTATAAAAGCTATATAAAAATCACAATGTAAATGGCAAACAAAAATTTAGAAAAACAAGAGTAACACTCTCTCAAATAATCATGCTATCAAAAGATACAAATCAAGAAAATGCTAAATTGTCTGAATCCAATTTATAGTTGTGGGATTCTTTCTGAGTAATATCACTAGCCTAGAGAAAAAAATAAATGAAAGTGTAATTAAAAGAAAAAAATCCTCTTCACCAAGTAGAAAATTACTGCTAACTACATCAAAGAAGGTGTGAGTTATAGATAAGAATTCAGTGGGCCTACCTTAGATAATTTCTCATTCTCTCAAATCCAGAAGACTTTTAGATTGGCAAGGTGCTAAATACAGCTTTATCTCAAAGCACCTTTTTCACTTATTGTACTCATAAATTTGTGAGAATGGGGAGAAAATTGTTAAGACCACAGAAAAAAATCTGAAGTTTTCTATCCAGTCAATATGCAGCTAAGGTCAGAAACCTCTCTCCTCCAGTTCATTTAACAAGATTTATGTTCAACTTTAAAAGTATGAATCTGTGTATAGCGTCCAGAGCAAGAAAACAATTTCTCCTAGGCACACTTCTAAGGCTCACTTTTCGTCCTTAGGAGTTTTAGCACCTTTCTCAAAACTCCTTCCTTCTATCAGACCTCCTTCAATTAGAGGGGGGAAAAAGGTAAATACATGCTGCTTTTTCACAATAATTCAAATTCACCCAGCTTATAAGGATTTTAAAAGAATAAAGGCAGATAACTTGTTGATTCTGGACAAGAAAAAATATATATATATAGTCTGAATATACAACTACATTCAGAAACTTTAAAGGCATGATGTAGCCTATATCAAAATACCTCAAAGTGCTGAAATCCATAATAATTAGGAATCATTCCTCACCAAAAGAAATCATTATCCCATATAAGTCGTAAATGCAGTATGTTTTTCATGAGAAAGTAATCCGCAACTATTCAGAAACGTGGTGCCAAGGAATCAGAGAAAGAGGAGGCTGGCATCCTAACATTGGGAAGATTCTCTTTTGCTCAGAAAGCTCTTCCCCATACATCCTATTTAGCTGAGATCATCTGCATGAAGGATATGGGCATTCTGATGTGAGACTGAATAGAGGAATAAAGGAGAAGTAGTATTAGAGCACAGCCAATTCAGGGAAGTGCAGAGCTGCCTGGGGATGCACTGAGGTGTTTTTATCTGCCCAAAAGCCTTGGTCACCAAGGATCTGACTAGTCAGTGGTAGGTGGGGTGGGAGGGGGAATAAAAGAAAATTTCTAGAGTATTGAAAAATCTATTTTGCAACTTTATATAGGGAGAAGACAGGACCAACTATGCCTTTGCTACTAAAAATCATTTATAAGTTGTCTTTGGTCCAGCGTGGGTTAACATTCATGGCGCTTAAGAGGAAAAAATATGCCCAGGAAATCCGATCACCAAACTACCAAAATATACTCCAAATCTGGCCACTTCTCAGTACCGCCATCATAAGTCTAAAGCCACCATCATCCTCAATTATTTCAGTAGGTCCAGAACTGATCTTCCTGTTCCTACATTTACCCTTCAAACTCTTCTAAATACAGTAGCTAGTTATGCTTTTAAATCATTAATGCTAAGTCAGATCACGAAGGCCAGTATGGCCAATACAGAGTGAGTGAAGGGGATGGCAGGAAATTGGGGAAGAGGAGGGAGGGACACAGATCACATAGAGGTGGGAAAACCACAATAAAAGCTTCATTTTTTTTCTTCTAAATGAATGGAGAAGCCAGTAGAATGATAATATCTGACTTACATTTTTTAAAGTGTCACTATGGATGACACTATGGATGGTATGACCAAAAACAAGCAAACATGAGCAACACTGGAAGCAGGGAGGCCAGTTAGGATTTCAATGATCCAGAAGAGAAATGAAAGTGGATTGATGAGGAAGGCAGTAGTGGTGCAAATAATATGAAGCAGTCATATTCTGAATATATTTTGAAAGAAGATTCCACAGGATTTGTTGATGAATTCAGTTTAAGAGAAAGAGGAGTCAAAAATGACTCTAAAGTTTCAACAGGTACAAAAGAGTTGCCATTTACTGAAATGAAGAAAACTAAGGGAGGAACAGGTTGAAAGGGATGATATAAAAATTCTGTTTTGGGTATGCTAAGTTTAAGGTGCCTATTAGATATCCAAATGAAGAATTCAAGGAGAAATTGGATATACGAGTCTGGAGTCAAGCAAGAGGTCAGAGCTGGTGATATCATTGAGATGTCAGTTTGAGGGTTATCAGCACAAAGATCATGTTCAAAGCCATGGGATGAGACTACCCAGCAGAACTTGAAAAGGTAGTAGCTTCAATGGCCTAGAAGTCCTACTGAAGCCTGAAGAATTGTCAGCATTAAGCTTCTAGAGGAAGTAAACTAGAGAAAGACAAGTGGAGATATACAATGAGATGCTTAAAACAGATTTTGGGGGAGAGTATAGATATTGGTAAGGATGAAGCAGGTTAAGCCTGTCAAAGTGGGTGGCCAAGGTCAAGGTAACTGAGAGGCCAGGGGATAGAAGAATTGATTTCAGGATGTTAAATCACTGAGAATAATGACAAGAATAGTGGTGGAGATAGACACAGTTACCCAGGTGCTAAAATACTATTCATTGAACGAGGAAAAAAGAAGAGATCTGTAGATGACTACAAAAAGGTAGAGTAGATAACGGTTTGATCTCACAAGACGTATCTCAAAGGGACTAAGGGATTGTAGAGAGGAAAGGGGAAGACAGTCAGTTGTGCAGAAACACTAATGAGAAACAAGGCCTTCTGACACATGGGAGTCTGGAAGGCAAAACAGCCTCCATTTGAAACAGCCAAAAGGAAAGCAGTTTCCTTAGGAAACAACCAGATTTAAGTTAGACTGTGAAGTTAAAGGGTAAAACTACGAAGTTTTAGAGTAAAGGTTGAGAACACAGAATTGGCCAATGACATACTGTGAGTTCCAAAAGGTAGAGTAGTAGGATTTAAATGGTGAAGAGCTAAGAGTTTGGGACAGATGGTGGGAGATGGTAAAAACAGCCAGCTGTTCTCTTTCATTCATCTCTATTTCTGTGGTAGAAGAATCTGAATTTTTGCTGCATACCTGGCCATCCAGAATAAAGATTACATTTCTCAACTGCCCTTGAAACTGGGTGTAGCCACATAGGACATGAACAATTCTTAAACCCAATGGGGATATTACAACACCATCAACCTCGTGGCCCAATCTGGAACTTATATCTTGAGGGGGGTAGATAACTCTACCCAACAGTATTGGTTACCCACAGTGGTAATATGAAAAGTAAATGAGTTACCTCTTATAAAATCCACACTACTACCTCTTATAAAAGTTATATAAATCAGCATTATTGGCAAATAAAAACTTGGAATTTAAGAGTAACCCTCTCCCTGCCATGCCATCAAGACCATATATATAGCAGCAACAAGATAGAAGGAACCAAGATTCTTGACCTTGTAGAGAGTCCTATCAGTCCTATTTAGCCTTTTAAGTGATAGAAAATAAAGTTTTATCATGTTTAAGTTACTGTCATCAACAGCTAAATCTAATAATGAACTAATGCAGGGAATTAAGAGCCTTGAATGTAGAGACGGAGGGAAACAGGGTTGTAAGGTATGATGGAATAGTCCCAATCGTCGAATAAAGGAAGGTGTATAATCAATTTAAATTGTAGCCTTCTTCCTGAACTGTTCTCTTAGGTGGTTTGTAGTGTTGATGAAGAGTTTTATAAGACAGGAAAGGGCAGTCTTGCTAGGACCACATGTAACTCTGTGGGAATTCCTTTTCAATCCTGCTAATAAGGTTGTTAGGATTTACTTTAATAGGCAGTTTAGGGAGGGAAAGGAATTGCACAGTTATAGAGGGAATAAATATCCCCAACCTTTTCTCCTAATTTCCCTAACCTTAAACTGTGCACTCATCCTTGTACCTCTGCTGTATCTATACTCACTGCCATGGTGATCTCACCCAGTTTCATGGCTTAATATAAGATTAAATTTATTGACTACCTAGTGACAACTCCCAATTTCATATCTCCAGTTCAGACCTCTGCACTGAATCCCAGATTTTTTAGCTAACTGATTATTTGACAACTCTATTTGAATGTGTGACACCTAAAAACTTAAGATCCAAATCAAACCCCTGATCTTTCCTCCAACTTTGCTCCTCCCACAGCCTTACCCATCTCAGTAAATGGCAATTCCATCCTTCCAGTTGCACAGGCCAAAAACCTTGGAATCATCACTGACTCTTCTCTCACATTCCAAATCCAATTTGTAAAAAACAAAACCTGTATGATCTATCTTCAAAATACCTGACTTTCATGACCCCCACTACTATGGCTCCAGTCCAAGGTGCCATCACCTGTTAACCTG